GGCATTTCCTAGGAATGACTACCATCGCAAAAAAACAAAATGGCGGACGACAGATATAAAGTAAATGACAGGGGATGCATGCGTTAATTTATTCATCCCGTTTAATGAAAACAAATTTAATAATAAAAAGTGTAATTAAATAAATAGAATGGTCATTTACATGAGCTCATTTATTTTTGCAGTTGAGACTTTGGTGGCAACGACTATTACATTTATTGAGCTTTGCTTCGAAGCTTTTGCATCTGTTTGTTTGACATTTCTTTGACCATGAACAGTTACATTTAATGTAACCTTGACCGCCACACTGAGAGCCAAATACAACCGCTTCTCTTAAACTGACTTGTGCGGTGCAGTTAACATCACTCATCAGAAGTAGCTTTTCAGGGCAAAGTTCAAATTCGTTCCTGCTGTTTGCCCCTCTTAAGATTCCATGTTTGGTAGCCAGCGTGTAGTTATTGTAATTTTTGTCCAAAACAACAGTCAGAATGTTTCGTGGGTCGCCACGGCCCCGATCAACAAGAGGAATGGGAATGGCAACATTGTCACCTTTCTGGCCTGGGGCGAGTTCTATTTCATTTCTTTTTACCATCCTTTCTGCTTGTTCCATCTGGAATTTCCTACTCTGCTCTCCATGAAAGTGTATTAAGATTGAGCGTGTGAAGGGCAAGAGTGTCTTTTGAAAATACAAATGTCACGTTTAACTCATTGTGTTGGGAACGATTTCACGGGAGCAAAATCGGTTTCTAGAAAGTAAATGTATGCTAGTTAGATTTTGAAAGACTTCCTTATGCTCCTGCCTTAAAACCCTGTCCAATTATTTAGAGAATTCATTCACGATGAAGATAAAATTGTTTGGGATGCAAAGCAGTAACAATTACAGTCAGTTGTTTTTCTCGTATAGTATTAACGAACGTTTCCTTCCTTCCTTCCTTCCTACCTTTCTTCCTCCCTTCCTTCCTTCCTTCCTTCCTTCCTTCCTTCCTTCCTTCCTTCTTTCCTTCCGTCCTTCCATCCTTCCTTCCTTCCTTCCTTCTTTCCTTCAATCCAGGCGAAAAGGTGCATGTATCTCTCTCCCTTTCTTCTCTGTTTCTCTCCACATATCCTCCACTCTCGCTTTATCGTTCTCTCTCTCTCTCTCTCTCTCTCTCTCTC